TTCTTGCCAAGTGATTCACATATTCTATAGACACGTTATGGGCCACGTAAGCCTGATTTAACACTTTTAATAGGGCATTACAATGTGGTTCCAAGTTTAAAAGAAGTGACAACAAAGAGATTTTGGTTGGCATCTTATTCAGCTAGCTTCTCTTTCTCTTTTCTTATTTTCTCTATGACTTTTGAAGCATAACTACTTTTGTTATATTAGCAAATTTAGATTTTGGCATAATTTTTTGTTTCCCCTAAATTGTTACATCGTAATCATATCTCTATGGTATAACCTTATCATATTTATAAGGGAACGGGCATGGGACCTTAAAAGCTATTACCTTGGGAATGAATTTATTCCTGAGTAATTTTGGTTTTTCACTACAACAGATGGTGATAGGCTTAGGCACCCATCTATCTGTCATAGCTACCCTAATATCTTCCGAGGCTTTTGATTCCTTATATAACTCAATTTGGTAAATGTCCATTAGTTTCTGCACCTCTTTATGAAATTGTTTACAAATATTAATAGAGTACCCTGGAGTTCCACCATGATATACATCTTTGCCTAGGGACGTATCTTTCCATTTTGGTGTGCAGGGCTACTAGTTGTATCAATCTGGCCTCACACAGGACGTTATACAGTTAGTTAAATGACATTTTAATCTTTTTTACCTTTCTTTTTATATGTCTTTTGTCCTTGTCCCAGGCATTAACTGTATGATTGGGTAAAGAATTCCTACTAACATTGGGTGCTAAGCTTTCACTAGTATCGAAACTTATCAGCCCTTATTTAATCAGATGTTGCACTTTTTGTTTCAAAAAAAGATAATTTTCAGTAGAATGACTTATTACTCCATAATGGTAGTCACAATAGGGTGATGGTGTCAAACCATTTGGGATAAGGATGTTTCGATTGTTTTGCAAGAATAGGGGTAATGAGGTGATTTTTGTAAAGTTCTTGATATAGCTCAATATAGCTTATAGGTGTAGGATCAAAGGTGGGTTTTTCCCTTATTTGTGGTTATTTGGCATTACTCATAGTGCCAACTAGGTGAACAAGTGAGTGGTGAGGATGGATAAGAAGGTTGTGTAGTTGGTTGGTAAGGGGATATGAAAGTATGGTTCATAGTGTGGTAGTATGTAGGATAGGTGGGCTGAAAATAGATTTTGAATTGCTATC